CCAACACCGTCTGCTTGTACTGGTTCTCACGGTCTCTTCGCTTGCAGATTCTTATTTTCCCTTCTACCCTGAAGATGGAGGTCATACGTTCCTCCCAAACGTCGGTTAACACCACATCTACTCAGTGCCACATCCCGGAAGATTGCTTTCTTCATAGTCACCACCGTGAAAACCTCAAATCTTACATAATTTTTTATAATTTATTTTTATTTTGCTCAATTAAAATTTAGTTTGTTTTGAAATTTTCAAACTGGACTGTAGTGAATCTGGACTGATAGAAGCTGGACTATGCGATGTGTTGCTGTACTGTGAAGATGGAGGAAACAGGACCCTGTAAAACACATGTAGCTTTTTGCAGGACTGTGGTTTTCTGTCCGGCAATCACCTTAAATCTTGCATATGTTAATGACTGCAGACTTGATGCTTTTTATTGCAGTATGTTTTGGCCTTTCCCACCATGTAGTTATTAACATCTCTGTTTGTATCAGCTGGTCATTAAGTTCTCACTTAGTATCCCTATTAATATCAGGAGCATGCAGTAGCATAGTTGGTTGAGGCACTATGCTACAAGCTGGAAAGTCGTGGGTTCGATTCCCAATGAGGTTATTGGATTTTTCAGTTGACCTAATCTTTCCGGCTGTATGGCCCTAGGATCGACTCAGCCTCTGACAGGAATGAATACCAGGAATCTTCCTGGAGGTAAAGAGTGGCCGGCACGTAGAGCTCACAACCTCATTGCCATCTGTGAGCCGATTGTCTAGAAAATGTGGGAGCCTCGATGTCTGACAACCCTATGGGCCTCCACAGCCAATTACAGCGATGACTTACCTTTTAGTGTCAGAGCCTCAGATGTATCCTTGCATGCTCAACATTGCAACTATCTATTTCTGTTTTTCTTAGCAGGCAGATTGTAACACTGTTCTTGACCCAGAATTTACATTTTGTATTGATGAAGCTTTGTTCCATCTGTGTCGATATATCAGTGCTCAGAACATTTAGGCATTGTAGCAATATTAATTTAAGACAGACTACTGTGTGGTGTGCCATTACTGCACCATGAGTAATAGGTCCGATTTTTTTTTAACAAACTGTTTTTTTTTTCACATCCTGTTGTGTCTTGAATGATTGTAACATATACTAGGTGGTTCAAATATGACCGGAACTGATTTTTTTTTGTAAACAAGCCACACTGCGCAGTAGCTATGCGACCTTGAGAGAGAGAAGCCACAACCTCCACCCTCCCTCCTGT